CAAAAGCCAAGTGACCACGTGAGTGTGGGTCTATTTCAGAATTCTCTGATCTATTCCATCAGCCTATTCCTCTATCCTTATGCCAACACCACCCTGTCTCGATGATTTTACTTCTATAGAAAGTCTTGAAATCAGGTCGTTTAAATCCTTTAGCTTTGTTCTTTTATAAGATTGTTCGAGCTATTCTAAGGCCCCTTGTATTTCCATACAAACTTTGCAATCATCTTGTCAATTAAAAGAAAAAGCCTGCTGGAGCCATAACAGGAGCTGGATTGAATCTACAGTTTCATTTGGGGAGAAAAGACATCTTAACAATATCGTCTTCCAATCCATGAACGTAGCATGCACTTTCGTTGGTTTCGGTTGTCAGCATCATTTTGTAGTTTCATCACAGAGGTTTCGGAATTTTCGAAGTTTGGGGCCACTATTTTTTTCAGCGACTTTTCCTGCCTCATTCTCTCTTTCTTCTCCTTCTGGGGTTCCAGTTACACTCATGTTAGACCACTTGACATGGTCACACGTAGCTGGGGCCCTATTCACATTTGTCAGTCTTCCTTTCTTCTGTTACTTGGAGCGCATCACTTCCATTGAATACCTTCAGGTTCAATGACTCCTTCCTCCACCGTCTGCAATCTTCCATTAAGCTGATGCAGTGAGCGTACACTTCAGTTATGCTTTTCAGTTTTAGAATTTCCATTTGGCCCTTTCCTACAGCTCCTATTTCTCTCCCGAGGCTCCCCATCTGTTCATTCATTTGGCACCTATTTTCCTCAGTCCCTGACCATATTGCTAAAAGCTGCTAATTGTAACAGCTGAGTCATCTCCAGGTTGGTTTCCATTGACTGCTTTTTCTGGAGCATCACTCACTTGTTCCTGTTTCTCCGCAAGTCTGATGATTTTTTATTGGACGCTGGACTTGATGAATGATACATTATAGAGACTCTGATGCTGCCATTTCCCCTGAAGAGTAATATTCGTTCTGACAGTGGACTTGGTTGGACTCCAACTTCCAACTCTGTCTTCCGTGCAGAAGGCTGCAGCTGAAATGCCTGCTGAATTCAGTCTCCAGCTGCTGCGGAGGTTTTCTCGCTGGAAACCTTAGGGTCTTTCCTGTATGTGTGAGGTTTCAGGGTCAGCCAAGGATTTAGGAGGATTACAAGTGCAGATGTGGGGACTCCTGCTCTCTGTGGGTCCCTCCCTTCCAGCATTTCTCTCCTATTTTCTGGCTTTTCTGCCAGCCCCAATTTCTTTCCTCTGACACCTCAAGCCAGTGAGGATGCAGCTTTCTGCATGCATTGGGGAATGCCCTCAGACGAAAGGCTGCAAACTCTCAAATCCCGTCCACAGGGAGCCCCTCCTGGAGAACCGGTGGGTTCCTCCTGAGATGACACAGTCCGGTCCCCCTCCCTGCGCTCACAGAAAGGACAAGACCATAAGACTGAGACACCGGGAACACATCCAGCGTGGATACCCCAACACATGTCCACTACCGTGTTCTCAGCTTGCTTTTCTTTCTCAAAATCAATAAAGCCAAGGAACATTCATTCCTACGGGATCATTTTTCATGCACCACTTCCCATTCATCTCTTCTAATTCACTCAGCGCCCTGAGATTAAAAATAGGCAGCCAGAAACACGAGATGGAGAGCTGGGTCCTGGCATCTTCACTTGGGACAGAAAAATCTCAAAAATGCAGACACCAGCCCTTCTCTCTATTCTGCACAATGTCTGTCATCCAAAGCCTGGTGAGGACTGGGGATGTGAATCGTCACGTTCCTGCCTGTCCCGAGCTGGTGTCCCCTCCTCTGTGGGTCCCCATCACGGGGCCATCAGGACACCCACAGTCCTACTTCCTACATCTGTGGCACGCTCCACTTAGGAAAATACTCTCCCAACCATTATGTAATTCAGGTCAACGAGCACTGAGAAATACAGGTTCATACTTATCACGTGAGATTATAAAACGGTAGCACTAACATTTCCCTTTACGCATGTTGCACATTATGGGAGAAGGGAAATAAAAGAAATAGCAAAGAAGTGGGTTTTTTTTTTAAATGAAAACAAAATTATGAAAGTAAAATCAAACATGCTTGTTAAATTCAGCAACTAAGATAAAAAGACCATCAGATTTGATTGGTTAAATCAACACATCCCAGGACCAATTCTGTGCAGGTAACTCGTTGGGTCCGGGGCAGGGGGTACACAGACGACAAAAGGCAGCAACACTGTGCCATGGACCTCACGGCCCAGGTGGGGAGACCGACGGGGCAGCAGTTACTTGTGTCTGAGACACAGATGCTTCTAGAAGGCGGTCGTGTCATGGTGTGGGGGCACAAGCTCTGGTCCCCAATAGCTCTGCTCCCTTGGCCAGCACTGGCATGGACATTCCGCTATTTCCTCCCTTATTAGCAAAGGCGTCATCTCCAAAAGGAAGTGTCCCGAACAGGGTGAGGGACAAATGACAGTACCAGGCATCTGTTACATCGTGGCCAGTGGGGCCCAGGGCATCTGGCAGCCATGGCTCCTGGCCGGGAGGAAAAGGCAACGACAAGTGTGGGTTTGGGGTTTGTCCCTGAGTATCTGAAGTGTCCTGGAGGGCAGTGCAGGAACCAGGAGGTGGATCCGACTGTGCGAGGATCCTGGCCTCAGTTTTTACCTGCAACATGAGCTCACCGCTGAGTGTCCACCTATGACCCGGCCCCCAGAACCGGAGGCGGCCCCAGAAGGTCCCTGCACACGGTCCCCTAGGGGAGAGGCCAGGCTACTGTGCCCCCCATCCAGCCTGGTGCACTTGAGCCAACCCAAGCCCAACCTCCCACAGTCCTTGAAAAGGACCCCAAGGCCCTGCAAAATCCAAAAGCATCTTCTGAGCCACGTACAGTGCAATTCCATGGTGTCAGGCTATTCCCTTCGCACGCTGATTCTTTTCAAATCAGTCTCTCGGGCCAGCAAAGACACACCTTGTGGAGGCTCCCAGTTATCAGAGGCTACACTCCATGGGAAAACTCCTTATCCCTGTCACACTGGAGCTGTGCACGGGAACAGCGCTTGGGCGATGCTGGACCACAGAGCTGGTGGCTCCGCATCTCCTTCCAGATCATGCAGGGCACTCAGGTCTCTTTTAGGTAGAAACCCAACTCTCTCGCTAGTGACTGCCCCCTCCAGAGGCAAAGCGCTCAGGTAAGCCCTGGATTCTCAGTCCTGCTAGTTTCTGGCTTTTAACTCTGGGCAAAACAACCTAAGCCTCAGTTTCCCCATCTGCAAAGCGAGAACAAGACCAACCCCTTTGTAAGGTCATTGGAAGAATCAGCCACAATGTAAATGACCAGCACAGGCCCAGCACAGAGTAGGTGTTCAATAAGTGCTGCCTGTGGCCCACCACCCCAGAGGGCGGGAGGCGAGAACGCTGTCAGTATTAAAGACGGCGGACGTTTGGCAACGCGGGAGACTAGACGGTGAGGAGCCCGGCGTCAGCGCCGACTCGCCCTTCGCTGTCCAGTTGCCCAGGAGAGAGCCCGAGGAGGATGCGCACGGAGGCATCCTGGACCGAGGCAGGAACGGGGACGCCCAGACGCAGGCGAGCCTCGGGGCCAGGCCGACGCCACAGCGAGACCTCGGCCCAGCTCTCCACGTGGACACCGCAGCCCCCCAGCCCCCACCACCGCCCCTCCGCCCCCTCTCCCTGTCTCTTCCTTTCGCTCCTGCCGTTTTCCGGCAGGCAGCTGTGCTGACAGATGCTAAATCCCCACAATTATTCTAGTCCTCACACGGCCCGAGACCCTCCAGGAGGGGCCCGAGCCCGGCCCGCCGCCCTCCAGAGCCGGCAGGACCCGCATGCCCCTCCTCCCGCTGAGCCCCCGTGCACGGCCCCCCGTCCCAGGAGCTTCGCCTGCCTGCCCCGATTTTGTTACAGCAAGTCAGCTGCTCAGAGGGGCCCCCGTGCCCCCACCGCCTAAGGAAAATCAAAGAAAATTGAACAAACTCTCCGCTTTCCGCCTCAGGCGAGCCTGTATGTTTACGGTGGGCAGAAAATATCACTGCTGACAGGCGGGATGTGCCTTCTGGCCCAAGGCTGTCTGATGCTGGGCAGCAGGGTACAAAATTGTCCTTAACCTGCGACTAGGAAATGAAATCAGACATTTTCCAACCTCGGTCCACACCATTCGGTGGGGGCAGCAGAGAGAGGGGGCCTCCAAGGGCCTGAAGAAGCCTGCTGGGGGCTGGGTGGTCTGCATGTGGGGACAGACAGACAAGGGGCTACTTCCACGTGTGTTAGGGAAGTGGGCCTCACTCGCCCTCAGCAGACTCTCGTCCCAACCGGTGAGGGAGGGGCTGCTCTTCCTACAGATGGGGAAACTAGGGCGCAGAGAGGGCAAGATAGTCCCCCAAGGCTGCAAAGTCACATAGGAGCACAGCTAGACAAGACCACAGCTATCGGACTCCCAGAGTGAGTCTGGCTGCCCTGGCTTGTGTGCTCCCCACCATAACCCTCTTTCCAGGGCTTCTTTCGAACCAGCAGAAGGGCCTCCCAGCATCGGGACGGGTCACCAGGGAGAGGGGAAGCCAGGGGAATCTCCTGGGCCAGGGTGGCTCAGGGTTTTGATCCCGCCTTTGTCATGTAAAGTGTGCTATGTGACTTCAGGCAAGTCACCTATCCTCTCTAACCCTTAATTTCCTCAACTGCAAAATGGGGGCAGGACCACCTACCTTGCAGTGTTGTCACAAAGGCTGAGATGATGTGACAACACTCGGGCACAGTGCCTGGCACTCAAGGGACCCACAGAACTGCCCCTGGGACCACCACTTGGCTCCTCAGTAAAGGAACGCAAACATTCAGGATCTCACTCCGGGCACTGCCTCTGTGCCACAATGTGCAGGGACCTGTCAAGTCACCTGCCCTTGCTGTGCTCTGTTACCCTAGGGATGACTCTTAAGGAGAGCTCACTTCTGGGGGGTGGGGACAAACTCAGGGAGACAATGATAACACACTGACAAAGACGATCCTGGTATACTTTTTAATCTGGGGAAGGGGCACTTCATTCAACCTGGTAGGGCTGGAGACGGCTTCTTGGAGGAGGTGACCTCTGGGCTTGGTTCTGTAGGATGAATAGGAGTTTGGCAATCAATACAGTAGATTTTACGTACATGACAGGATTTTTTATAACAAAATCCGGCATGTTATGCTTACCCATTTTTTAACCAATATTTCTTAAGTGCCACTGTGCGTCAGGTTTGTGTTGAACACAAGAGAAATAACGTTAAAAAGGCCTAGTTCTTTATACTCCTGGGGTCCCAGAAGACAGTATCAGGAGAGTGATTTGGAGAGGCTCTCACTGGACAGAACATAAATCTCTCCTTCTGGCCACAGCCCAGCTGGTCCCTGCTCCTTTCTGGAAAACAGCAAGATGGATGTGCACGTCTCAAACACTTCCCCTTCCACGCTGGGCTCTCCACCCTACAGGGACTGTGTTAAATCAGACGACAGAATTGCTGTGACTGCCTCGGACCTGAAAGGACCCGGGTTTAACCAGGTATTAAAAATAAAAATTCATATAAGTCCGAGCCGTTTCTCCCAGACGGAGCGGCAATGGGGCGTCTGCTCTGTACTCACCTGGAAGGGCCCCGTGTGCTCACACTAGCAGAGAGAATGGAGAAACTTCTTCCCCAAAGTGCTGGGGGGTCAGGGAGCAAGGTTTCAAGGTCACTGAAGCCCCGGGCCCCGATGGCAGCCAGGGCCTTTCAGGATGGCTCAGGTCCAGATACCAGGGGGCCATGACGTCCCAGGAGGGCAGGCAGGGCCCTTGAAGACGCAGGGAGCAGAGCAGGCGGCTGTCAGTCCCGCCGGCTGTGGCTGCTGCCTCCATGTCCAGAGAAGAGGGAGGCAGTCCGAGCCCGTCCAGCGGGCAGGCTGTGGATGGGCTGCCCTCTGCCCAGCCTGTCCTGCAGCCAGCTCTGAAGGGCAGGGGCATCGGGCAGCTTGTCTAGACCAGAGGCAGGAGAGCGAGGCCAGGGGTCCCGTGCTGTCTGCGCAGCCACTGGGCTGCCTACACGGGTGACTTTGGGATCAAGACCGCCAGCCCTCAGTTCCCAAATAAAAGACACAGCTGAGGGGCTGGCCCGGTGGCGCAGCAGTTAAGTGTGCACATTCCGCTTCGGCAGCCCGGGGTTTCCCCGTTCGGATCCCAGGTGTGGACATGGCACCACTTGGCAAGCCATGCTGTGGGAGGCGTCCCACGTATAAAGTAGAGGAAGATGGGCATGGATGTTAGCTCATGGCCAGTCTTCCTCAGCAAAAAGAGGAGGATTGGCAGCAGTTAACTCAGGGCTAATCTTCGAAAGAAAAAAAAAAAAAGACAGCTGAGACCCAGACTCTCCCAGGACCCCAGCCTCAAATAAGACAGTGACTGGCCTGGTGGGGATGCGGGCAGGTTTCCTAAATCACATTTTGAAAAATCCTGTGCACCCACAAAGTGCATTTCTAGCAACACCTCCTCCAGGAAGCCCTCTCGGTCTCTTGGCCTGTCAAGGTCTGATCCCAGTGGACACCACCTGGATAGCTCGTGGGAGAGGCAGAAAAGCTGTAAGAGGACTGCAGGCTCCCAGGTCCCAGTGGGGCTCTATCAGACAGCCCAGGGGCAGGGGGGAGGGAAGAAGGGGACAGACAGGTGGCCTTCTGAGTCACACAGACCTGGTTCAAATCTCTGCTCTGCCCTTAGTTGCTGTGTGCCCTTGGGCAGGTACCTTCACTTCTCAGAGCCCGTCTCCTCCCCGCCCTAAGGGAAGGCTCCAGGACCCAACCACGGACCCAACCATGGGGCTCGGTGTGGGATCAGACCTCAGGTGTGCTCCATGGGCGTTGGCTTCATTCCTGCCATTAGGTCAGTCCCCATGGCTGGGCCGGGCCTCCCAGCATTTCACATGAGGATGGAGAGACCCTTGACAGGCCCGGGACGGCATGTGCGGGGAACACAGTCAGCTCCCTAAGTGTTTGTTGTACAAACAAAGCCCTGAACGGCCAGAGGGGAGGCAGCTCAGCCGGCAGAGAAGGTGGCCTTGTGGAGGAAGGACGAGGCAGAGCAGAGGCCACTGTGTGCCCGGCTGTCACCAGCTCACCAGCCCAGAGCCAGGGAGCCCAGTTCTGGGAGGAGCCCTCCAGCAGCGAGACTGCAGAGTGAGGGCACCTGCACAGCACCATCCCCGGGAGCCAGCCTCGGCCCCGTGCAGCCAGCCTCGGCCCCGTCCAGCCAGCCTCCTTTCTACCCACCACCTGCTCCCACCATCGGCCTGAGGCTGGCGGCCATGCAGGCTGGCCGAGGAGGGCGTCTGCCAGCACCTCCGCTCTGGGGGGGCTTTCCTTTCAACCTCCTCAGACTGCGGTGGGGTCTGTGTTCTCCACCGAGGCGCGGGGAGGGGAGAGGCTGCCTAACAGGCTGGATTGTTCGTTCCTAAAGGGGCTTGTTTCTGTAGAGCGTTTTCAGACTTGTCCCCTTGGAAAGGCAATCCTTCGGGTGAACATGAGATGTCCCCAAACCCGGCCTCACACATGGTCGTCCCCACAGATGCAGGTCTTGCTGTGTGACCCTGCACTTTCACATGGGGCGGCTTGGACATAAGGGAACTCGGGATAGCTTTTAGACAAACTGCAGCTGGGAGAGGCAGGAGGGCGCGGACACGGGTGGGGCGAGGAGGGTCGCGGTCAGGCAGAGCGACATTCCTCGTCTGGCCAGTAAGGGGCGCCGCGCAGAGCGGGCACGGCTGCAGGGCCAGGCGGGAGAGGCGTGGCCTCCGCCCTCCCAGCAAGCAGCCCCCACCGCCACCTTGGTGCCCCCACCTCCCTCCCCAGGAAGAAGCAAGACCAGCTCCCAGAAGATGTCACACCTCCTCGAAGGCGGCATCCACTGCGGAAGCTCCCTCTGCATTTATGCACCTTAAAAAATTATCCCAACGATGCTAACATGACACATTTAAAGCTGCTAAGTCATTTTATGATGCCATAAAGCATGCTGCTATACGTTTACGGATAAATTGTATTGCCTGCCGCGTCGCGATCACATTTGTTTAAGCCTGAAAATCATTTTAACCCCGAGGAACGGGAAACCAGCGGTAAGCAGCAGGCTCCTCGATCATGAAACATGGATCCTTCAAGCTCAGAGGGATCCACGGACCGCCTGGGCTGACGCTTTCCTTCCAGGGTTGGGGAAACCGAGGCCCGGAGAAGTATTAATGCGCCCAGAGTAAGACAGAACACCACCCTCAGAGCCGCGGCCTCACCAGGCAGACACTGCCTGCGTGAGCCCCCGTGCTACTTTCAAGGCCCCCCCACACACACCTGGGTGCTCCCCGTCGCTGGAGCACACCCAGCGGGAGTCACAGCAGGCATTTCGACGTGGGCCACGCCTTCCTGGGGGTGGGGGAGGTTGTCCCTGTGAGTCCCAGGGAGCCTCAATAATTCTGATTTCTTGCAAACACCACGAAATGTCGCACATCCACAGGGGCCATGCCATGCCACGTCTCTGAGCTGGGAGCCCTGGGTCCTGGGCAGGCTGGTCCTGCCTCGCTCTCCGGCCCCACCTGCGCCCCGCCCCAGGCACCAGGCCTTTGCAAGGCTGCTGCTTTTGCTGGGATGCCGGCCGCCTCCTCGGCAGTTGCTTACTTGGGCTCCCACGGTGAGCATCTCCTGTGGGCCGTTCTTCTGTGTGCAAATCTGCCTCCCAGCCCTGGACGGGGGCTCCGCCAGGGCAGGCCCCTAACCTCAGCCCCGCCCAGGAGTCGGCAGGTATGAGAAGTGAGCAATAGCACCCCTCCAGGCTCCCAGGAGCACCCTGGAACAGGAGAGGCATCACAGGGAGGGGTAAGCCATTATGCAAATGCAAGGCACCAAGGGTTAGGGCAATTTAAAAACAGGCTTCTCAATTTGGGCTCGGTTTGCTTGATAAAGCGTTTTTAAGTGGCAACATTTCATGTAAATTTTTTCAAGCAGCTGCTCTATTGTCTGATTATAGATGTTCAGTGATGGCAAAATGAGCCTGGCGCGCTGGAGAACATAATCCCAGTCCACTATCCTCCGTTCAACATGGGGGGCTCCGCAAGAGCTCCCGGATGACATCCTGGGTCTGAGACCTGCACCGCCCACACCAGGGCCACCAGCCACACGTGGCCGTGTGCTCACAAAGGCGGCCAGTTGGACTGGGCTGTGCTTACGTTCCACAAAAGAGAATGTAAGTTGCTTCATTAGTGATCTGTTCCGTTGTTATGTGTTGAACTGGATAACATGTTGGATATATTGGGTTAAATAAAAATAAACTCTTAAAATTAAGTCCACCTGTTTCTTTTTCTTTTTCTGATGTGGCTACTAGAAAATTTCCAACCCCGCCGTGGCTAGTATTTGATATCTCCCGGACAGCGTTACCATGGCCGTCTGGAAACTGGAAAGTCACGTTCTTGGTAAAAGGGGCAGACGGGAGCCCATCCCTGCCCGAGCGCTCACGGCATACCCGCAATGTCACTGTCGACCTTCCTGGCAGATGCCAACACCGCATGTTACACACAGGGGATCCGAGCGTAGAGGCGTGGGTAACATGCCAACGGCCACATAAGCAGGACACGGCAGAGCGGAGGCTCCCCAGGTCTGTCTGCTTTGGGAACAAGGCGTGGCAGGACAGACAGTCTCTCCAGCACGGCCCGGTGCACCTGCCACAGGTCGGGTGGAATGGGGAGCAGCATCGCATGGGCTGAGGCTACGGGCCCTCAGTAACCTGCTGGGGTGACACTGGGGGCTGTGAAAGCCCCAGACACCCTGGGAAGAGTGGCCTCTCTAAGGGGTATTCTCTCACGTGGGAGACCCATGCCTCTCCTCCAGCGATGCCCGAGGCAGCCAGTGCCTGCCCTTCCTGCAACCCCCACCACACTGCCCCGAAAAGGCCCTCAGCTTCTGCCTCCCCCCATCGAGCTCGGGGTCCTGGGAGGCAGGGCAGCGGGGTGGGGGGGGGGGGCGGGTCTTACTCCCCTTTATAGTTCCGGTTGCTGGCCTTGAGCTGACACAAACAGTGCTTAGTAACAACTGGGCAACGAATACATGGTTGACTGACTGACTGACTGATTGAGTGTGTGCCCGGGTGCGCTCACATGACACTCCGTCCCTCACTGGTGCCCCAAGGAGCAGACCAGGCTCTCGTATGAGAGGGAGCAACAGCCATGGAGCGTCTGACGTCTGGGCGAGGGAGGGGCCTTTAGAAACACAAGGTGATCATCGCTTCTGACACCCGGCCAAGAACCCAAAGGAAAGAATTAGCCAGTTCTGCCCAAAATGTCACTCCCTTGCTCCCCGCCACTGCCTGGCATCAGATCTAGGCCACTGCCCAGCTCCAGCCTCGACGAGTCACAGCCACACTCCCCCCACAGCAGAGGCCAGGTAAGAAATGGCATTTCTGTTTGTGCCCTGGAAATTGCCACGACGGATAAATATCAACCCCAGGTCCACGGAGACAAGATGCTAGGAGACCCTGCTTTTCAGTGAGAGGAGAAGGAAAAAATACCATGAAAAATTTATTAAACTGCAGCCACTGGGACCAAAGCGCAAGTTAAAGACTCGAATTCATTCCCCTCCCCTATAATTCGTGATTTACGTCTGCGGCGACTGCAGCCCTGAGGAGCTCACTGCATCCAGGAGGATCGCTCTCTCTGTCGTGAGATAATATCATTGAACTGTGGTCCCCCGCCCCGCCCCGGCTTCTCCGTGCGAGAGGAATTACGTCCCAGGTTTTGGTTCAAGAGGTCAGTCACAACCAGAACGGGCAGGGAACAGGGAAATGGGCACCCCGGGGTCGCTGTCAGACTCACGGAGAGGAGTCTGCAAAACTCCACGCGCACCGCAAGCCACGGGACACAGGCAGGGATCCCGGGTTGGGGGGCAGCCGAGGGGCGGGTCCCCGGCTGGTACTGAGACACTATTTCGTGCTCGGTCTGGGCTGCACAAGGCCGGCGTGGCCCCTTGTCCTCCTGGAGGCCTCAGTCTGTGCTGACCCCTGAGGGATGTTTCAGGGGGGCACAGACCCCCAAACTCAGGCTGGTGACTTAGGAGAAACGGCAGCTCAGGACCTCGCCCTCCACGCTGGCCAGCGGGCTCCCAGGCCTCTGGGGGCACCGACTTTGCATGTTAGGGCAC